TCTTGCGCCGCGAAGGATGGTAAAACCGATGCCACTGCGAACCAAAGTACGTGCTAACGGAGGGAGAGAAACTTAGCATCTACTTAAGGAGCCGCCTTTGAAGGAGTTTTTTGGGTGATAGCTCAAGGTGGGCACTTTGTTCCTGGTAGAACTTGTTGCAGTAGGTCCAATATGAAATTCCAAAAAGTGAGCACTCACAAAAAGGTGCACTTGTGTGGGATCCCATACTTTCTAGTCACCCGATTACTATTAGAATTAGAACCAAGACTATTCAGAAGGCTACACGCTATTGTGATAGATGAGGCATACAAGCAGGCAACATCATTTCAAAAACTCACTAGTCACTGTGTCGGCGTTGTTTTCGGCGACGATACACCGTAATGACGGCGGTCTTCCCTGGTCACGACCGTTAGCGACCGGATGGTATGCATGATCCTGCCGACGTCGACGCCCAACACAACAGCAGCAACAGCGGCAACAACAGCAAAGAGTCTTCTTTGAGTATTTATCAACCATTTGATAAAACTTTGTCCTGAAAGTTACACGTTTTCTTGGAAAGAGAACGTAGAGCGCCATTGGTTATGTTGATAAAAACATACAAAGCGATTTCACGATACTCTTTGTTGAAGACGAAATATATCACACTATTCACAGAAGAGTTGAGTATGACCAGAAAATTACTGGCATCGGAAAGGAGATTGAGCAGTAGCGGGTCCGGATCGAAGAAGGTCTCGATCAAGTTGACCACCAAGGCCTGAAAGCACGACGGTCGACGTGGTTCCTATAGTAGAATATATGGAATATCAGGCAGTGATGGCAAGATAGGAATAGTGTCGGAATGGGACAGAGTAATCAGAAAGGCGGAAAAATAAGGCTCATTTCCATAATGAGCAGAATATGCATTCTGCTCCAATTCCGGAATGGATGTATATGTTTTTGCAATTACAAAACTGCAAAGCTTCGGCACAAAAAGACCCAAAAAAGTCGAAAGAAAGGCAAGCGTTGATCATTCCTTTTTTAAGGCGACATTCATACTTTTGCAGAGAGTTGTGGTTGTATTCGAGTGCGTGTTTGAGGGAGAGGAAGTCTCTGCGATGGAATTGGACATATGAAAGATGTTAAATAGAATTGTAATAGGGTTGTATCCTCTGATGGAGGATTTATACCACGATTATCTCGGCGAAGATTGTAAGGTCGAAACCGGGAAAGTGCCGGTTCCTGTAATACCGCCTTTCCCCTCCACAATCTAAGCCTAGTGCACGGGAATTCCAACTGTTGCTCTGTGTGAATAATAAGGCTTATATATGGATCTCCAGATGGAGTCATTCGTCCCAGCAATTTCAATTTAAGCAATTTCAAGCGATTTCAATTTGAATGGAGCCTTCTACGAACAACGGCTTATGATGAAAGGGATGCGCTATCAATAGGCGTTTCCAGAAATTCCTTTGTATTTTCCATTTTCTCATTCCACCTGACGAGTCATTAGAAATTTCTCTCCGCATGAGCTCACACCACTCCCTCCTCCTGTACTGGACCATGTCTTAAGAAGGATACGAAAATCCGTGACAAGGTAATCTGCACGTGAATGTTTTTGTGCACTTTAAAGACTGCCGTTATGTTTGAATAAACGACTGCTGGAGTCTGGAAATCCACATAAGATTGAGGAAAACTCTAAGCCAGGGTGTGATAATGAAAAAATTTATGTAGTGACAGCTCTGCTTGTCTTTGCTTTTCTGGAGGCAAATCTACACGACACAGCAAGGTGGCAGGTTACGGAGGTGAGGAGAATAGTTTTGTAAGTCAGCAAGTTAGGTTCCACTAGGCGAGGAAAACAGCAAAGAAACCGCTTGTTGAAGTTGGTTAACAAAGATGGGCAATTCCTTAGTCTTAGGCAACACTTCAGCTGGTGGTTACGGTTTCCAGGACGAGCGCGAGTGTCGTTGAGATTTTGTACGTATTTCACACCCCCCGCCCCTCAGCTTGACGGTTTTAACGCTGCGGCCTCATAGCAATCACACGTTCGAGTTGACTACAAAAAAGCAAATTCATGAGCATGTCAAGCCTACAAGCCCCCTTCTCCCTTCACTCACTACTTCTATCGGCTAACTGGCTCACACTTATCATCAAGGCACATCATCCATTGTGAATATCACAACGGAGGGATCGCATTCAACTGCTGAACAAAGAGATTCGTACTTGGTTTGAATGCATCAAGTTGTTGGTCCTCTGTGACTCATTCGCAACGTACACCCCCTCCCCACCCCGTACGCCCAACGAGTTCAATATTTTAGAAAACTCAGTAAGGTGGCAGTCAGTGATAAGCGGTTCCAGGCACTGGAAAGAGTATCCCCTTGGTAGAATTCCTCACTGAGCGATGGCAAGACATTGTTAACACAAAATAAAAAAATAAATTTAGTTACCAGTTCTGTTCAATCTTCGAGTTCCATACCCCATTACAAAACTGCGACAGTATAATGTCTGTAGCAAAACAGAACTGACCAGTGTATTGCAAGCAAGAAACAGCATGACGACCATTATCATTGTTATTGTATCATCGGCACCACCTGATGAGCTTGCGGCCGGCTTTAGCAAAGAATCAGACGAATTCTTCGATCTGTAAAGTGGTAAAATTTGATTCCGATGAGAGTAATATCATCCAAACGCGGCTAGTCCAAGTAAAAAGTTGGACAATGATTTCTGGGATACTTTCAATTCTCCCCAGCTGTTCACTCTTGTATTTGATTTTCAATCGCTCGCGAGCCCTCTATAGGTGTCCACGACATGCTGCCAGCTTCAAGGCAGTTTGCAGATTCTCTTACTTTAGAATCCTGAGAGCATCCTATCAATGAACTGATGAAAATTCATTCTGAGGCCATCGTCATAATCGAAGTCACTGCCGAGACAATGAGCCGTCGGGTCTTGTTAGTTGGGCATGAGGATCGGGCGTATCAGGGGCAGGGTACGCCATCGCGTTGTGATGAAATTCCTGAAAAATACGACCCCCCTCCCCATCCTACCTACCACTTTCCTAGATTTTCCCAACTTCCTACCACTTTTTCCAGTTTTTCCGGCATTTCCCGAAAAAATTTCTAGTTTTTCCCCAGGATTTTGCTGTCGAGCGGGGGAAGGAGGTGGGGAGGGGGTGGGAGGTCGTCAGCAACTTATTACTATTTTTAGCTATCGGAAATAGTAGTTGTATAGAACTTTGGCGGCGCCACCAACTACGGGGCGTATATGTATTGTAATAGTTAATTAACTTAACAGTTAAGGAAAAGACAGTACCGGAAAAACCGCAAAAAGTCGACAACCGAGAAAATTTTTCCCAACGCCGCAATGTCCTCTCTCAGACAAATACGAACTCCCCTCTCCCAACAACGACCAAATACGACCCCCCCCCTTTATAGCGTCCGTGAAACAAGAGAAATCAACTATCAAAAAAATTTTTCTCAGACCAAATACGACCCCCCTCCCTCGCGGTCAAATACGACTCCCGTTGTGATTATCACAACGATGACGTGCCCTGGTCAGGGGGACTGGATTTGGCGTGCCGTCAGCGCGTTTCTTTTCTGTGTTTCTTTCGGCAAGCGACAGACCTCACCTTCGTACCAGTCTTTTTCGTCAAAACGCTGCCACTGACCCGCTCTGACTGCGGCTCCAAGCAACAGATAGAGCAATTCGACGAGGCCTTTCAACCTGTTACGTTCCATCGTCCGCAAGCCATCAAGGCTAATAGTGTAAAACGAATGCCCCGAAGCTTTTATCGGTTTCATAGAGCAGACGAGTCGGCTTTTTTGTGTGAGAGCCATCGACTGACAGAGCACTTTTCGAACATGCCGCCTTGGTTTGAATATGCTGCCGGCATAAACTGTCGGCTATGAGCATCGAAGTCGCTGCTCTTGCACTTCTAGTTAGACGGGCATGCGCTCTCTGATGCCATCGTTTTTTATCTTTTTCAGCATCCGAGTTCGTCGGCGTCCGCACTTGTTGCGGCAATTGGAGGTGTCTTTTATTCATTTTTTGCTAATATAGTGAGTTGCCGTACAACGTTACATTGGTTTGTGCTTGGTTTGTCTCGAACGGCTTTGCCGTCAGAGATGACGGCATTTAGGGCAAAGAAGCAAGAGAAATGGTAGAAGAGTCATTAAAGAGGCATATACTTACCGTTTGTATACATGTTATGCGTGAAAAAGCGTTGTCGGGCAGATTTCGATGATTTGTTCCTGGAAGATGCTGCTCGATCAGTCCGAGAAATCAAATGTATGGATTTGTAAGCACAGCCGATATCACTGAAGTCGGTCGGGGCGTGTCAGCGGACGTGGTGCTTGGCGCCAGGCAGTTATGCTTCAATGAGGGGTGGAAAAGGAGCTGGCGCTGCGCAAAACACTCGCGCCGCCGACACACCCATACCGACTTCGACTGTACCCCTTGCACAGGCTCAACTCACCCCACTGGCGTCATGATAGCACTTTCTGAGGTTGAACTGAGGAAATCGCAAGGAGTTGTAGAAAATCGATGCGACGATCACAGTGGAACAGATCTGCTTTGCTCGACGTGTCGTGCAGTGATCGTTGGATTTTGATTTCCAACACACCTGAATGGTACGAATTGGTACGTAATAATCCGCTAACACTGGTTCTCACTCACGTTTACGAAGCAATCAAAAGCGGCGGCCACAGTGAAGTAGATGCTGCATGTTTGAGCCATATAACCGAATGGAAGGATGTAGACGGTTGTGTAAGGTGCTCGTGCTAACTCTGGTATATACGACCGAGCAGAGTCTGAACAAATTCAGATCGGTTATTAACAAAAAATCACGAGCAAAAGGGCGCCACCGGAATGTTCACACGCTAACTGCATATCTTGGGTGTGTGGCAAGAGATTCGTAATTCGTCGCGCCAGTGGGCGTTGCGTGCGACGTCGCGCCCGCTAATGACGACGATTTTAGGTGGTATTGGTCGAGAACAGACAATGTATGACCAAAAATAGACATAAGTGTCTACCATGTCCTTGTCTACATGAAATCCGATGCTCCAATCAAAAAGGTAGTGCAAATCAAGAAACGGGCAAGAGAATCGTAACCGCGCGACGAATGGCAGTTTATCATTTTCTTGCCCGTCTACCACAAGTAATTTTAAGAATCATTTTGAACAACTAG